TTGTGTCGCAAGTCGCATGATAAGCAGTATGAACCAGGGCTTAAGGTTCTTACAGTAAACCCTAGGAAGCAATTAAAGCTCTGTAGTGTATTAATGTGCTTTTACATACAACAAGCATGCACAAACACTGCCTATCTATACAATATGAATATGCTAAAAGTTACTTAGCTCAGGTTATAGCGGCGGCTTCACAATCTCCATAGACAACCAAGGCTCCAGGCTTACTCTATAAGCTATTACAAGAGAGTGATAGTGTCATCTTCTAGTGCGATTTCTTCTTTGGTCCTGTGAGGTTTCCACTGGCATATATGTTTCTTGTTATCTAATTATGGAGATCCTCTCCCCTCAGTTGTTGGCCTTTTATTTAGAATGTTTAGGTAGACAATCCCACATGGGCATATCCTTTTTACCTACTTAGTTTGTATTGGGGGAACATTTCCCAACTCAACCTCTAGATGCCACTGTTTAATCACACATGACATAGGTCATATATGTCAAAAGGTCAGGCTATTGTTGACCATTGGTTACCTGAATTGTTGATTTTGGTTACAACAACAGAAGCATTTAACTACCAACTGACATTAGCCCAACATACAACAATAGTATCTATTGTCTCTTTGTCTCTTTAGAGGACAGTTTGTGTAAATGTTTCCAACAGCATTTTTTTGAGAATTGTCTACTCAAAAACTCAAAGTAACCTGATTTCTGCTTCTAATACAAACAAACAGACTCATCTACGTAAGTCTGAGGAAATCAGAAACACACACACACATGTAAGTCAAACACAACACACACATCCACACGTTATTATGCAATATAAATAAGGTTTAAAAAAAGTGTTTCCCCTTCCTGCTGCGCTCTCGCTGAGGCTACTTTCACTCTGTCCTGGAGGAGCAAAGAGGAAAGTATGGCAGTGTGTTAAGAGATCCAGAGACAAGAATGTGGCGAGGAAGGGTGACAGAGGGGATAGTATGGGATAACAAGATAACACAGCTCAATGCAGTGTAATAGAAATGCACTCCAAATGCAAGTACATATCAGAAACGTGCATCACTTGCACCATGGTGTGAATCAATCCTTACCATGAGTTTGAAAATTTCTATTGTGTTTTCATTGGTTTAGCTATGTACTTACCCCATACTAAATTAAACATTTATTGCGTGTGTGAATATAAACAATATAAACTCTAGTAAACACCCTAATATTAACAATAAGACATGATGACATAAACATAGCTTTAACAACTGTTCCTGGTACAAAAAAGTTTATCTAATTAATTTAAACTGAAACACAGCTATGATGGAAACTGCACTTTTCACCTCTGAAACGCCTAACCAGAGCAAGAGTCTGACAAAGGAAGATTCTTTATTAGGGTGAGGCAAATGTTATGCATTCTGCATGAAACTTTAGTATATATATTTATCTTTTTACACACCTTCCTATGATGACATTTGCACCCACACACATCCCTTCTCCAAGTTCAACATTCCTTTAAACTTACATTCTTGCAAAAGGGCAGAACCCCAAGCTCTTAAAATGAAGATGTATAAATCAGCATTAATGCAGCATTATCATCCCTAAACATCAATTGCACCCAATCCAGAAAAAATACAACTAGACACACAATTAGGTAAACAATTATGTGAATTATATAGTACATAACTATCAAAATTCAATCCAGTCAAAGAGTCCAATTCACTGCAAATGAACATTTTGTGATTTTCTAGCCAACACAAGTCAATTTGTGCATGCATCCACTATTTCTCCTCAGCCACTCACCCCCAGGTGTAGACTTGTATCATTGGGAAAAGGTCATGCTTATGAAGTCAAAGCACCTGAACCTTTCCAATCTGCCCTTTGATAAAGAAGTAGCACCAAAAGTTGTAAATCCTTGTTGAACCCCCTAGGTGACCCAACGCACAAAACATTTTGTCCTGTTCAGATCTGTGCAGTGGTTTAAAAATAAAAACACATTTCTTTTCATTTGTGCAAACTGTAGTGCCAACCCAGGTTGAAGCTCAGTTTATGGTGAGTGTTCCTATGGGGGTGTCAGGGTCCACCGCGGTGTCTCATCCGGCGCATGCGCAGTCTCGGCGGCTCGCGCCGGGATACGGGCACTAGGTCCTGGTCGGCCGCGGCTGAGGGAGACTTGCGCATGTGCAGTAGGCCCCGCGAGTACACGCTGGGCGGCCAATGACAGCGTAGGGCGCGGTATTTAAAGATGCCCTGCGCTGTCACAAATCGCCGCAAGGTCTATCCTGTTACCTGAGTTCCTGTACCCCTGTGAGTGAGTTATTTTGACCTGGATTGCCCTGACTACGCTGCCTTCTCCTGCTTTTGACCCGGATTGCTCTGACTACGCTGCCTTCTCCTGTCCTGACCCCCGGCTTGTTTGACCTCTCTGCGGACTGACCATTCCTATACTGACCCTGCGTGTGACCTGACTATCCTTTGCCTGCCGATTCTGTACCTCGCTGCCCCACGGTGACAACTGGCTAGTTTTACTACGATCCGTCCATCCATCCATCCATCCTGCCTGGGCCTGCCGGCCTCCTCACATCTGACTCTCCTCCTGTATCCATCCCCAGAGGTTCCCTCTGCCACGGGCGGGATTGCTCGGAGGTCGTGACCTGGTCCTGGTCTGCTTCAAGTCCATCCCCACCATCAGGGGCCCTGGTGAACACACAGACCGGGACTTAGACTCCATGCTCTGGGTATTCCTGTCCAGTGGGCTGCCAGAGGCACCACCTGGCGGATCCGCAACAGGGGGAGATATAGCACAGCACTGAAGCCACCACGCCCTCTTCATTCTAACATCTGTAGCCAATCTTCCAGCCTTTTACCTCTCCTATTCTACACCTCTACCACCCCCATTGTACACCACAGGAAAGACTGAACCAGACCAACCCACCAGCCACCAGCAATTCTGTAGACAGACACAAGTAATCTAACAGTATGCATAACTGATCAAATGATCGAACAGAGAGTAACTGTAACTTGAAGTTTACTAAACAGATGCAAAATAGGATCAGAATGGCAAAGAGCATGCATACACTGCGGGATAACACAAACTGATCATAACTGCTGCACAAACATAGACTCAGGGCAACTGTCAGGGCTCCCAGGTGTGACCAGAGGTGTGTGGCTGACGCAGGGAAACGCAGACCTCAGATAAGTTATAAACAATATAATTTATTAACACTAACAATACAAACATAAACGCAGTGCAATACTAAAACATAATACAGTGCAACCAAACCAAACCAAACCAACCACCCACAGATAACAGTACATACAAGCAAGCGTCGTCAGGCAGGCCGGGTCAATATCAATAGGGCAGGTAGGTACAGGGGGAGCAAGCGGAGATTGGTCGGGGTCACAGGCCAGGTTCAGCAGGTAGCAAGCAGCGTAGTACAGAGGGTCAGGCAGAGGGATGGTCAGGGTCACAAGCCAGGGATCAGAACAGGTAGCAAGCAGCGTGGTACAGAGGGTCAGGCAGAGGGATGGTCAGGAGCGAGCCGGGATCAGAGCAGGAGAAGTCAGCAGCGGTTCAGAAACAGGATGCAGGACAGAAACAGGATACAGGGCCCAGGACAAACACAACACCAAGGCAGAGTCTGTGGGTCTGGCCATCCCTTAAATACCCCAGCATAATCAGTTCCAGGTGTTAGCTGGCTGCAAAGTTGAGTCTCTGATTGCTGGGAGCATCCGCTGGCCAGCCCTGGTACTGCAGATCAAAAGGCAGGTGAGTCCCACCATTGCTGGCCAGTCCATTCCTGACAGCAACATGTGGCACATATATATATATATCAACTTTTCTCAATAATCCCTTGGGCCTTGAGGAAAAAGTCCAGGAAGTGATGAAACGCGTCGGAACACGTGATGTCTGACGCACTCACGCAAACCGGAAGTGCGGTCGTGGCCATTTTGAAAGTGGGAACATGCTGGTTTTCCATACCAGGGACTACATCTATACTACTCTGAGGATTGGAAGTTGAATGTCTTCAATTTTAATGTAAGATATCTTAATAAAAGTCTATATATTTAATACATACCGCTGAATATCTCCCCTTTACTCCAAGAGAATATGGAAGAGTGGAAGCAAGAGGAATAGAAAGTTTGGAAAGTGCCATTATCTATGTGTATAAAGCCTGTCATATTTGTATAAGGGTAATTATCCTCTTTTCACTAGTTGGAGGAGATCACTTGATAAGTCACTGTGATATGTTTTGAAGTGTTCACTATCAGTGTGCAGTATGTGGAGGTGATCACGTGTTTATCGTTTGTGGATATTGTTATGTTCACTCTATTAGTAATTTGAGAGATATAATATTGCAAACAACACTTTTGGATGCGTACAGCATTCAGTATCTACTGCCTTGCATGATGACATTGATGCATGATAATGTTCTTACCTCCAATATGTTTTTCATTTAATGATTTCATCAGGAGACATGAAGAGGAAGAGATTTAACATGTCATTATTGTGGTGGTCACTTCAACATCATTTTTGCCAACCATGTTTTTTTGCCAACATTTCTACATATTTTATTTAGACCTCTAACACTTACTGAAAATTATTTAAAAAGAATGTTTAACTAGATATTTTTGCTTTCCCAGAGGTATTTTCCACAGCTCTACCCTTTACATATGTAAAGTGGAACACTGTGATTTTTAAATGTGTGAGAGTATTTGTTTTTGAAAGCCGTTGTAAGGTCATGATTACGTCATATTGCTGCATTATAAATTGCCCCTTTAATTTATTTTACTGTATATTGCTCAACCCTTTTAGGTTTATCTAAAGAGTAAGTGTGATAAAAAAAAACCTCAACAATATGATATTTTCACAAACTGGAGCTATCAAATATAAAAGTCATGTTCTTTTGTCAGTAGGATAAACTTTGCATTGTTGTCCTTAATATTAAATATGTGTTGAATTACTAATTATTAATCTATTTCTTCTTCAATAGAAAGAAAAATCAAAGCAAAGCTTTTTCATAATGCCATTATCAGGAACTCCAGCACCCAACAAGAGGAAAAAGTCACCCACAAAAGTCATCATGGAAATAACTGGTAAGTATATATACAATTTATTTTTTAGCTATGTTATTTGTGTAATTGGGAAGCTTTGCACAGTAATAGGGTATATAGAAATGGGTTAAAATAATACTTTTTAGCCTTTATCAATGACCCCATATTAAACACAGCACAGGCATGATTTTGTTCCTTAATGGCACAATGACATCATAAACATTCCTTTAGATTACTGGGCAGATCAAACGCTTTTTTTTTCAGTTATCATCACCCCACCACCCACCTTCCACTATCACACTTGTAGGAAATGTCAGTGGCGATCATGCTTCCATGTATGCACTTGTGAAGTGCGCAACAGGCAATAAGAACTGCAACTGGCTGCAGTCTAACCTTACAGCTTTAACAAAAGTTGATGATAAAGTAATTTGACAGGACTGGCCTACTGGAAAGGCCTACTTCTGTATATACTGTTTTACCATCCAACAATATGTAATTTTTCCCAGGAATGTTTGGAAATTACACAGCACAACTGCATTAGCACCTCTGTGTGATTTTTCCATCTAAGACCGGATATTATGTAACTAGCCTAGAAAATAAAGTCTTCTGTAAAAACTCTCCCCACCATGGCACCAATTAGGGAATTCAAAATGTGCAACCCTCCATCTCTGGATATTTGCTTAGACCTGACAATTTTAAATTTGGACAGCACAAACAGGAACAGTGCCATAAATTGTAGCCATAAGTCCTTTTAGCATCACAAATCCACACCTTTTTACACTATACAGAATTAGAATTGAATTAAATGGTTAAAAAAACATTGAAAATATAACCCACCTTATACACTGTATTGCCAAAAGTATTGGGATGCCTGCCTTTACACACACACGAATGTTAATGGCATCCTAGTCTTAGTCCGTAGGGTTCATTATTGAGTTGGCCCACCCTTTGCAGCTATAACAGCTTCAGCTCTTCTAGGAAGGCTGTCCACAAGGTTTAGGAGTGTGTCTATGGGAATGTTTGACTATTCTTCCAGAAGTGCTTTTGTGAGGTCTGGCATGTATGACGAGAAGCTCTGGCTCCCAGTTTCTCCTCTAATTCATCCCAAAGGTGTTCTATCAGGTTGAGGTGTCGGCCAGTGATGTTCCTCCACTCCCTCATCCATGTCTTTATGGACCTTGCTTTGTGCACGTTTGCACTGAGCTCCTGAGAGTGACCCATTTTTTCCCAAATGTTTGTAGAAGCAGTCTGCATGTCTGGGTGTTATAATTTATACACCTATGGCCATGGAGGTCATTGGAACACGTGAATTCAATGATTTGGAGGGGTGTCCCAATACTTTTGGCAATATACTGATCACCGAAGTTTGTTTGTAACTATTGCAACTGCAACATCATTTTTTTTAAAGGGCTATGAGCAATCCAGTTGTCACCAGCGACAGGATCACTAACTTGCTCCTAACTTGTTTTAATGGGATTCCCTTAATGTAGTTGAGTGAGATTAGGTAGCATCTCAGGTTAGTGAAGGAGAAATTCCATAGAAGTAACTGAACACCTGTCCTGGGTAGCCTTGCTTCTAGTGATGTCTCACTAACAGCAGAATAGCCCATTTGACATCAGCCTTACATGGATACACAAATTACTGCAGTGTTGTGATTCTCATTTCCAGCATATCCTCTATGAATTACAGTGATGCATAGGGACATCAGTTCTGCTTACGGAAGGGGAAAATTGGTCATGTGATCACTAGCAAAGGTATCAGAAAAGAGTATTTAAAAGATATTACATGAAAAAAGAGAAGGCAGAAATACACTACAATTTCATAATATACATGTCATATCTAGATTTGCCATCTATTTCAACTGACAGTGGGATTATTGCTTAGCCATCAAAATAAAAGCAGTCCACAACTACTGGAGGCCCAGACCACTGTCCTAATTCCAAAAACAGTTATTTAATTTTCGGGATAGACACCGCTGAGAGCAGGGAGAAACAGAAATCAGTGTTGCTACCGAAGGGAATGAATAAGGAGATGTTTCCTGCAGTGCAGACTGAGACATTAGAGAACAGAACTATCCAATGACTCTGAAATCCATATAATCTCATGATAATACCATGATAATCTTACAGAATTTGCTGAAGGCTTGGATCACAATATAATGTTTTTTACTGACAGTAATATGTGGATACGATTTTAAGGAGCAGTATTTAACATCCTACGACTGTTATTGTTTTAGCTTCAAGAGAAGAACAAGATAGCTCCAGGCTAAACTTAGGGAAGAAGATCAGTGTCCCCAGGGACATTATGCTGGAGGAGCTTTCTTTACTGAGCAATAAAGGCTCCAAAATGTTCAAGCTTCGCCAAAAGAGAGTGGAAAAATTCATCTATGAGAACAATCCAGATGTGTTCAGTGACAACTCCTTGGTAAGGATGTAAAACATTAAGATATTCACACAGCAATTTTACATATTTATCATTAACATTTTGAGTTCTCAAATGGTCACTTGGGGTCAAACATACCAATATGACGTGGCTGGAATGTATTTATGCTGCAGTGTTTTAAAGCATGAAGGCGCACGCTATAATTACTCTTCAGCTATGCAAGTGTGCAAAGGGTTCAAGGAATCTAATTAACACAGACCTTCAGCTATTAATTTTTATTTGTATAGCATATTTTGTAGCAGTTCACAGCATGGTGCACACTTAACACATGGAGATTAGTTTACCTATACTCAGATCAAAAGAGTGGAGTATATATATATATATATATATATTAGATAATAATCATAACCAAAATGAGAGCTTACAAATAAGGTTGTTTTTACCCTTTTCTACAACTGATGGCTGTGTGCTTTATCACCATGAAAATCTTATGTAACATTCATCTCTGGTCAGAAGTTTCTGAATCCAAAATCCGCAATTGCAGATTTTACCTTCAGCAGCTCCTTCCAAAGAAACCTGGTATCCATCTTCCATTTAGATCTAATGACATTATGTTGGCATGTTATATAAAACAGATAGTCGTTTTAGCCCTTCTAGTGAAATTCAGTGATATAGTAGCTACACAGTTGGTCATATATCTCCTGTGGAGGAAGGGACAGGGGCAGATATATGTTTGTATGTGGGCCAATTTAATTTGCACCAGAGCCCTCCAGGATTCTAGCATGATGGTGGTACAAAAGTAGTAATTTAATTCTCAAAGAATGTGTAAACCCAACATTTCATATTCCTGATATGTGCCTGATGTACCATGAAAAAGTACCCTGTTCTCTCTGTATTGCTTTCTTTGTGTAAAAATCCCTGGTGTTACTGCCAGTCCCCCCTGCTTTAATAATAGAACTGACCACAACAAGCAGCATAGTCAGTTCTCTAGCTGTACTGGGAACTCAGCCTGCTCTCCTCCCATGATCAGGCTTCTGATGACACGCTCCCCCCCCCCCCCCCTGCGCAGGCATGAAGATCAGTGTATGCTGTTTCTCCCCTCTGAGCTCCTTATGCAGCTGTGTTGTGAGAACAGAGGGTTTGTGATCACTTAAAAAAGGGGGAAAAAGGGTATATATAATTTTTTATATATTTATTAGACATGTACATTTCTATTCGATCTGTTTTTTGGATGAAAACTTAATTTATGGAGATTCGGGTGTACTGTATATGAATCTTTGAATGGACATACTAACGAATGTCAACGAATTCGTAAAAACTTTATAATGAAATTAATGAATGCATTAGTTTGATTCAGATGACGTCACATGATGCGATAGTACACTACTCAAAACAATTAAAGAAACACTTTGAAAACACATCAGATCTCAATGGGGTAAAATATCATGCTTGATATCTATACTGATATGGACTGGGTAATGTGTTAGGAACATAAGTATGCCCCATCGTTTGATGGAAAAGAAAATTGTAAACCTACAGAGGACTGAATTCAGACACCCCAAATATCTAAGTGAAAAAATGTTGCAGCAGGCTAGTCCATTTTGCTGAAATTTCATTGCAGCAACTCAAAATAGTACTCAGTAGTTTGTATGGCCCCCATGTGCTTGTATGCATGCCTGACAATATAGGGGCATGCTCCTAATGAGACGACGAATGGTGTGCTGGGGAATTCGAATGGATTCGAATTTCATTCCATTTGCTAAGTTGCATGCATTTGACTCCTGTAATACTGTTCAATCAGCTCATGCCATTTCTCCTGGTGGGTTGGATTAGCATCCAAAAATATGTAATTCTTCCAACTCAAATCCATCCAATTCGGTAACATATAGACTATTTAGCAATCTTCCAGAAAAAAATGCAACATTTTTTGAATCCACCCAGACCAACGAATATACGAAATGAATGTCGAAGATACGAAATGATTTCTGAAAATGAATCAACATGACAAATATGAAGAAACAAATTCTTCAATGAACAAATGCATATGAAACAAAACAAAAATGAAACTCTACAGCGTGCACATGTCTAATATCTGTACAAAAATATTTTCCCTTTGATTTCTATTTAAAACTGAATGGGTTGCTTTACAAGGTGAAGGTTTACATATACTTTAAATCATCGCTATTGTAGAGTAAACAATCAGGTGCCTTCTACCTACTACCTGAACCCTTGTAATAGCCACCCAATGCATCAGAAACAACCCCAAAACTGCAAACTGTGTATGATAACAGAATATGAAAAGCAACACTTGCTACTATCAAGCAGGAGAAAGGGACTATTGTTACCAGAAAGAGTGTAACATCTTTTTGTATTAATTCAAGATGGATATGAAGCAGGTTCATTTCCATTCAAATTAGAAAGTCATCCAGATATTTATAGTAGCAAAGCCCTTTTTTTGAGTGAAGGGTTCCCACCTATCTCTTCTGTACCAGTGTGAAAATGGTATTAAATTTAGATCACAAGCTTCATGCTAAGAGACTAAGAACTGAGGCTTAAACAGAAGGTCCTCCTTGAGAGTTGTCTAACTCAACTGGCATGTGTTGTTGGTAGACAGTAACATTTAGAAGGGTTCCTGCTATGTTTCAGGACTGTTCATCAGGATGGTGGAAATAGAAACACACATGGCAGGCTCAATCATCCCTTTAAAGAAAAAGAAGCTAGGAAATTTATTGTGTCACCCTTTGAACTTAAAGTAGATATTAGTAATAGCTAACAAACATTTTCAACTAATGAAAATGCAGTTATGGCAGCCTACTTTTAATAGTTTGTATTTTATTTCATTTTGCAAACTCTTATTATTAAGTTTTATATTGAATAAGTAAATACTGCAGGTTGATTGCTTAGCTCAACACATTTCCCTGACATATGTTACAAAAAAACAGAAAACGAAAATAGTATATTGTCTTTTAAAAAAAAAAAAAAAAACCTACAGTGGCTTAAATTTTTTTTTTTTTGTCTTAAAAAGCAACATTCGGGCATCATGGTTGGTACAGAATGACTCTAGTGGGAGCCTATTCATGGTTAAGCTATACCTTTAATATACTTTGCAGGGTGTTAGATACAGGACAGGTTACTGGTCTGTTGCACCTTTTTCCTCTGATCTGTCTGGTGTATTTTATTTTGCTGGTTAAGCCTCTAAGCTCAAAGGGTTATATAATCCCAATGAGTCTCCAGCTTTTTACTTCTTGCATTTTTGTCTATATTTAGATGTTGGAACAGCTGTTCGGAAAGCTGGTTTACAGATTTTCTCTTCAGAGGCTGCATTTACACTGTGGTGTCTGTAGTGAGATGTACAAGCTTATAGGTCATTTATGCACAAATGTTATGCAAAAAATAATGCTCATATTTTCGGAAAATGAATTGTTCTTAAAGGAAACCTTTAAAGATAATATAATGAAAAACTGCAGCAGCCAACTTGATTTTTAAAACTGCAAGCTCAGAGTCTATCATTGTAATGTTTGCTTTGCTGCTTCGTGAATCACGGACCTGAAAAAGGCATGCATATAAGAAGTCTGGACTTCATTGGCAGCATACTTGGATAGTCACCTGCACCTTAGTGATAATGTTTAGAGTGAGAACCCCAGAACTTGTATCTTAAAAAATCAAGCTTGGAGCTCCTATATTTCTATCCTGACATTTTAACCCTTTATGCAGAATAATAAAAACGTGAGTAAGAGCTAATCTAAGAAGAACTGTAATTTTAATTCAAAAGCACATCCATCCAGCTCTGTCCTATTGTGTGCTCACATGACAGTAAATGTACCATCAGAAAACGTGTAAAAGTTAAACTGTGCTCACATATTTATCAGACTATTGCCTACTCTGCTCACTTTTAGGCGATCTCTGAAAACCTATCTCTTCAGGGAAGCCTATCCTGCCCTCAGCTAATACTGGAATCTTCTACTCTTCCAACCAGTCCATCCCCCCCAGTTACTACCTTTTGTACCACTAGCATCTCCCTCCTAGATTGTAAGCTCCAAGGAGCAGGGCCCTCAAATCCCTCATGTATTGAACTGTATTGTTGCTGTATTGTCTCCCGTTATATTGTAAAGCACTGAGCAAACTGTTGGCGCCATATAAATCCTGTATAATAATAATAATATTTAAAGCTGAAATCTACACAGATGTACATTCATACAGCTCCATATTCCCTAAGACATCCTTAAAGTGAAACCGCACTGTATCTGAGCACCACAAACCAAAAATGCTATTTAATTAATTGTTAATATTCAAAGCAAACTCACCCATCCAGTCATGTCTCCATGCTAAGAAATCATTTTGAAAAACACCCTCTGGCATTTCTGGCAATGGCCATCTTGAGTAAGGGCAGATGGTACATGTAGCATTTGCTTCCTGAAATTAATCTTCTCTTAGCTCAGGCATTGGCTGAGCTGAGAATCTTCTCTCCCCTCCTGAAGACTGCTGGGACGTGTGACACCATTTGCCTAGGCATGGAAACCAGAAAGTAACTGAATAAATGTAAAAAAAAAGTTTAAAAACAAGTAAATATGATATACTTTCCTACCTATTTACTAATGCAGTTATGCTGAAAGGGTAACTCCGCTTTCCTTGTCAAAACATATCGCAACTAAAAAAATAATATAGAATATAAAACTGTGACACAAGCCATATTGGACTATATGGTTATTAAAAATGACCTTTCCTTTTAATCTGCAGTGCTGTAATGTTCTGTAAAAAGCAATGTAATATGGCAACCTGGAGGCATTCTGTACACAGTTGGTGTATGGAACGCCCCACAGAAATGTAATTTCCTACTTGTGTGATTGGCTCACTGATTTTCCCAGTAGTCTGTATTAAAGTAGAAATTCGATTTTGGGCATTCTTGTGTCCCCTGCAACAAACTTTTCAGTTTTGATTTGATACTCCCAAAGTAAAGGGATTTAGACCCTGCCACTTTCCTCATTAGAACCCTGTAAGTGCAGCAGCTGATCACTAATGAAAGTCACTCCCACTTGCATTCA